GGGGGTAAGATGTTGCAGCTCCACCTTGTAGTAGTGCAGCAAGCCCTGAAGAAACTTGTGGGCGGGGATGGCAAATCCCCACTCATGAAAGCGAGCAAAGGACACCACGTAGCCTTCGGGCGGCGACGTTGCATCCTCATTGCCGGGCAGCCGCCACTCCTCGGTGGCGGTCCACGGGCAAAGGAGGCCACGGCGAACGAGGCCCTCCAGGCGCTGAAGGGTGATATTAGATTTGCACCATGGCTCCATTGAACGATTGGGAGGGGTGGTTGGATGCGAGCTTGACGGCGGCTACGATGCGGGTGCGGGAGGCTCAGGCGATTGATGGCGGAGGTTGTAGATGCAAAGGCAAGAAAGCAAAGTATGAAACCCTGGGGGCGAACCCCTTAGTTTTATAGGGGCGACGGGTGCGAGAAGGGCAACCGTCCGCCTAGATCTCCATGTCTGCCACGATACACCACCATGTCACGTCGTGGGATATGCGTCCGCGATCCCTATCCTTTCCCACCAAAGTCGCACCGGACGTTTCGCCTTCCCAGGCAGACCAGGACTCTTTTCCTACAGAGGGGATACGGGTCAAAAAGCATCTCTCCGGCATGCCTGGGCCCAGGAGTTCGAGGGCTGGCCTAATAGTTTCGACGGCCGTCCCAACGAGGGATGGGCCCACGAGCGGCCAAAAACTCAGGCGCACGAGCCTTAAGGGAGTCTCGATCCGTAATCGAGTCTCAACCGGACTGACCCTGGATGAATCCCCGCGAACGGGATACCAGGGTTCCCTTTAAACTATCCAGTTGTCAAACACCGAATCTCACAGCCATACCCGCAAAGGGTCCGAATTACCCCCCGAGTGATTCTATCCGAATCACCTGGGGGCACGGGGGCTACACCCGACAGGTGCGCTCACGCGCACCCTCTGGCAAATCGGAATACCCCCCAGACGATTCTATCCGAATCACCCGAGGGCTCAGGGGCTACACCCATCGGGTGCGCTCGCGCACACCCTCTGGCAAGTCAAATCACCTCCCGGGCGATTCTATCTGAATCACCCGGGGGCTCGAGGGCTACTGTCGGGGACCGATTACTGGGGTACCCAAAGAGGTGGAACTAATAACCATCAAACGCTGATGCTTCCGAACAGGCAAGAACGCAACTACACTTCTTGCCCATACAACTGAAGGGTGGCTGCGCCTCACCCAGCCTCGAAAGGTTGGCTCCGCCTCGCCCGACCCCCGAGGGCTGGACTCCACCTCGCTCGACGTTCGGGGACTGGCTCGGTCTTGCTCGACAGCTGAGGGCTGGCTTCGCCTCGCCCGACGTCTGAGGGCTGACTCTGCCTCGCCCGACGTCTGAGGGCTGGCTCCGCCTCGCCCGGTGGCTGAGGGCTGGCTCTGCCTCGCCCGACGTCCTGGGGCAGGCTCCACCTCGCTCGACGGCTGAGGGCTGGCTCCGCCTCGCCCGATGTCCCGGGGCAGGCTCCACCTCACCCGATGGCTGAGGGATGGCTTCGCCTCGCCCGATGTTCGAGGGCTGGCTCCGCCTCGCCCGACGTCCCAGGGCATGCTCTGCCTCGCCCCACGTTCCGGGGCTGGCTCCGCCTCGCCCGACGACTACACCCTGCTCCTTCATAATGACAAGCACAGGGTAAGACAGGACATTCGAGTTAAACACAGTACCGAGGACCATGCCCTGCACGCCTGTAGGAAGGTACCGTCAGGATACGACGGGACATGCGCTTTAAGCCCTTCCAGGCATAACAGAATCCTGACATAAGCATACGACAACCACTACAATCCAAGAGAGAACTCGCATCATCTAAAGTAACGGATGTATAGTCACTTCCCCATCTGCTCCCCACAGGGTCACGGCTCGGCACCCTAGCACGCTGCACCGTCCGCCGGACTAGGATGGGACGTGACCACTTGCTGAAACAAAGCCAGAGCATGGCCCTATCAGAATCAGCGAGCGTGCTATCCCTGGCATGGTCTGCCCTGTCAGCAGGCAGGCTCAAGGAAAAAGAAAGATCCGGCACCTTCGAAGGACCTTCTCTACCTTTGGTTTTTTCCTCTTTCTCACATCTGTAACCCCTACTCCCCTTGGCCTATAAAAGGGAGGGCAAGACACCCCACTAAGGGGACGGATCAATTCATCACACATCACACATACAGCCAAGCAGCAACCGAACTCTAGGCATCCTTTCGACCATTCCATCAGAGACTTGGTACCTGTCTCTCTCTCGACCATTTGTACCCCCTACTACAAACCTTTTTCAGTACTAATAACACGAGCAGCAGCAAACTGAACGTAGGGACATTCTGCCCGATTCAGTATAAACCTTGTGTCCTTTAGTACACCATCCGGGCTTAACGCGCAACAAATACAAATTTACTAGTTGGTGTTTGTTCGAAACACTGACAACGGGCCTCTATAAATTGATTTACAGAGACTGTTATTTTGTGGTGTCTCCATAAATGGCTAAAGTGCCTCCGTAAATCACTCGGTATTTTGGGAGACGAGAGCACTTTATGTCCCGCCTCCGTTAATCAAAAGTCCAAGTCTCCTGAAATCGTTCTTTAGTAGTGCTAGCTTTTTCTTGTGCCTTGGGTCAAACTAGGTGCATTGAAAATATTAACAACATTTGTATCTCTAAATAAATTTATTATGCAAATATATTTAATGATTAATCTAATAATAATTATTATGCACTATAAATACTAGCAAATGTGCCCGTGCGTTGCAATGGATCTCGGTGCGTTTTAAAGTACATATTAACGTTGCTATGGATGAAGGGTCTTTTGATATGAATGTATTTTAATCTTCACTTTTTGTTTTTAGTCATTGTAAAGGTAAACTTTTTAGAGTTTTAATAAATTTATTTATTATTCTTAATTTTGTAGGTAATAATTACTGTATATTTACTAATATTAATGTTTTCATTTGGTCGTTGTTGCCTTATTTGTATGTAATATTAATTGGGTCAATCTCCCTAAGCAACTGCCGCATCCCACATCGAAAAAAAAAAATCTAAAAACTTTATCTACGCAAGGGAGGACCTGGTGGCTGGTGGTCATCCTCGCAGGCCCGTAGATTGACAGGAGCAAGGTGGCCAGCTGTTCGGGGGCCTCCAAAATTTAAGGGCCTTCAAATTTACAATAAGTACTAATAAATAATAGCTAATCTTTTAAATATAAAAAATGTAGCATATCCACACACAAAAGGCTTGCAAGTTGCAATTTCTGGTTTGTTAATTGGATGAATTCACCAAAGTAAGGCCCAATGGCCATGTCCACCAGCCTGCTTGGCAACTGAGCTTTCTTGGACTGTTCATTTTTCTATTTGCCACATTTTGCTTTCTCGTGCTACGATACTAGTACTATGCTAGCTGCTAGGGATGCTAGTTTGTTACTTAAGTACTATGCCAAAGGGTGCCTAGCTCAATCGGTTAGGCTTCCCGGCAGCACTCCTTAGGTCCTGAGTTCGACTCCCCGGGAAAAAAATCTGAGGTTAAAAACCTCATCACATGTGACAAAGTGCAGTAAGGCCCAAGGTCTGGTCCGGCCTGGATCCGTGTGTGTGCGCCTTGAGTGCCAAGACGGCCCAGTCCGGCAGACGCCTTCTCAGCAGCCAAGGATACCGCTGCGTCGGGGATGTCCTCGTCTGTGTAAGAAGATCATTCCAAAAGAAAACATAACCCAGCAGGTCAGTTTTTTTTACTTGAGTACTACCTTTTACTCTTTTAGCATTAAGATTTCATCTGTTCTTAGCAGTGTAAGACCCATGTATATTCTGAAGCTTTATAATTAAGTGAAAGTATGTCTTGATTTTCTCGAGTTTTAGGGCCCCATCGTGTATTTTGTTCAGGGCCCTCCAAATCCTAGGTACGGCCCTGATCCTCGTCCAGTCATTCCAAATTCACAACAGCGCACGAACTACACGCAGGTAGGGACGAAAATGATACAGATATTTTCCTATATCTGTCCATCCCGAAACACTATATAGGTAGCATGTAGCTGAATCCGAACATTTAATACCCAACCGTATCCGAATCTAAATACTCAAAAATCAGATTTCTAATATGTATATATATATACGAGATAGATGTCAATATCCGAATGATCCGGATCCGAGAAAATATATGGAATATGGTATATATATACGAGATAGATGTCAATATCCGAATGATCCGGATCCGAGAAAATATATGGAATATGGTATCCGGCTTCATTCCTAGTCGCAGGCGCTCCGCGTTTGTGCTCCGAGCCTCCGACAACGCTGGAGACCTGCCGTGAGCTCCGATGGTGGCGGTACCACTGCGGCTCCCGTCTCCAAGCTTCGTGATGTTTTGCTGCGTCTACTGTACCAAGTCCGATGTGCTATTTGGCCTGCTTTCCCCAAGCCACACGTGGCCATGTTCTGGCTTGTCACGAAGCTCATCCAATCTGCTGTGTGATGTGCTATTTGGATCACCTGGCAGTCCGTGCTGCGGGCCAAGCGTCGTCACGGTCTCACGGACGGTTTCGTCGTTGTATCCTGCATGAGTCCGACGCTTGCACGCCTTGGTCCGGGGGTCCAATTGGAGTCCAACCAGTACACGATGCCAGATGGGGAAACCACAATGGAGTGGGATCATGGGCTTGCTAGCTGTTGGGCTACAAAAGAACGGGCCAGACCAAATATAAATATATATATATATATGGCTATTTAATTTTAGGTAGGTATAGATTAATAGTCTCCTGTATATATTTTGTTATAGTTGAAAAAATGTTTGACCCTTTGGAAAAGCGAGCGAGAATAACATGACGTTGCCATCAGCTAGCCAAATCATCTCGTGAACCGTGATTGCTCACAGACTCAACCTCCCCCACCACACCACACACACACACACCCACCTCCTTCCCGAAACCAGAGCCGTTGACTTGCCTAGACTACTGGTCTCCGTGTCGGGATCGGGACAGATTGCCAGTGGCACGTCTTGGAACTTGGACTGTACAAGGTAGCTTAGCATGGAGGCCTCGGGCAGCAGCGATGGCGGCTTCGAGTTTTGGAGCTACCGCGAGCAGAACGCATCCAGCTCCTCTCCCATCGGCAGCCCCTCATCAGGATCAGGTACCGTAGTCTCAGCCGCCTACACCTCTCTCTCTTCTCGCCTGTCCTCTGGCTCTATGGAGGCGGCGACCATGCACTTGGACTTGGATTCTGACGGAGAGGAGGAGGAGGAGGCGGAGATGGTGACGGAGACGAAGGAGGTCCGGATAAAGCACATCAAAAGCCTGGTCCAGGAATTCTTTGGTGCGCCGTCCACGAGCTGCAGCATCAACAGCGGCGACATCGGCGTCCTGGAGAGGTGGTTGGATCAGCTCGGCGTCGGCTGGATTATCCACGTCGCAGGTGGTGCATCTGTTTGGGAACTCCAGGATACCTGCAGCAGCTGGACCCGTGCTCTCGCTCAGATCACGGAGGCCATCCGTCTGGTTGCATCGCTCTGTCTTGATCATCACTGCTCCGTGAGCTTACCCAGTATCTGCGAGAAAGAGCCTGCTGAGGCTGCGAGTGAGAACGGGGACGAAGCTAGTGTTCCGGACCAGTTCCTGTTTGCACGGTTTATCGAAATAACCATGCTGAAAATGTTCGCTTTTGTGGACTTCGTAGTTGCTCCGGATACTACAACCACTATAGAGGTTATCATGGTTTTTGGTGTGGATGGGGTGCCGCCACCACCACCACTACCATACGAGAAGCTCAGTACCCTGCTGGTCGTCCGCGGTGCTCTGTCCAAGGCGTTAACCCAGATCCGGTTGTCCTTTCATTGGCCTCCCTCTGCAGAAATCCAAAGGATACAGCGCGAGATAGTCAGCCTCTTGTCAGGAAAGGAGGGCAAGGTGCGTGAGGCCATATGGAACACAATGGAGCACATTAGGACTAGTGTCCTGGAGTCGATAATGGAGGATGGTGGTGGTCATCACTTGTCGACTTCTCTGACGACACAAGGATCATCGGACGTTCACAAGGCCACTCGGCGTGTAACGAGGTATATTAGGTTCCTCAAGCTTCACTACTCGTCATTGGCTCCTATTGTGTCGGAAGCAGCTAGTCTTGGTTGGTATGTGCCTCGAGTTAGTAGACAAGCAGAGCCGCCTCTGATCAGCATGATCATAGAGACTGCGTCTTGTCTAGAAGAAAAGCTCATCAACAAATCAGAACAATTCTCAGATGAAGAGCTCAAGTCCTTGTTCTTACTCAACAACTCATACTTCATGCTGACTGAACTCAAGTACCCTTTTTTCCCCTCTGCCAAAGTCCACATGGCTGCCCTCACTTGCAAACTTGAGGCCCATATGCAGAGATATATAGACGTATCTTGGGCCCCAGTGTTGTCATGCTTGTTCGATTCTACTTGTACACCTGTGTGCTTGGGGAGAAACTACTACTCATCCCCACTGTCCAAGTTCGAGTACGAATTTCAGAAAATTTACACCACACAAAAGCAGTGGAAGGTCCCACATCCGGTGCTGAGGATGAAGCTGCGCAAAGCTATCACCGACAAAATCATTCCAGACTATGCAACATACATCGAGGATAACAAAGTTATCACCCCAGATTTCAGTCCCCTAAAGCTGCAAGTGATGCTGCAAGAGTTATTCGAAGGATGATGAACAGAGTACTCTACACAGAAGGCAAGCACGTCATCACAAGTTTCCATTTGTGTTGGTTATCGGACGAAATTTTTTGTCGTTGCTTCAAATGAGTTAATAATTTCTGTTGCCTCTCGCGCAGATGTGTCACAATGGAAGTGACGTATCCGTCACCCTCGGAGTCTGGTGATCTTCGAGTATCTCTCAGCTGCGTTCGTTGTCTAAGTATAGTTGTAGGTTTGTTTGTATACCGTGTGTGTGTGAGGTGTGCGTGTGTGTGGTGGTGTGTGTCTATATCCGAACAGATACTACAGCTGTACTTAGAGATTGAGAGGCTTCTAAAGCTGTATGTGAAGAAGTTGAAAATCTAAAGCACTGTAAAACTTCATGTGGCAACTTGTATCTCTCTCATTTTTTTAAAATAAATATGTGGAACAGCCGAGATCTGCACGTACCAGCCTTGCATCCCTGTACATAGGTGGAATTTGCCATCTTACACCGCAAACACAGATATATGGCAGGTACCATTACAAGATCATCACACTCATTAAACATCACTAGTACATCAACATGTGCCCTCGCACGGACTAAAATTTTAGAAGATATAAGTATTAGGTACTGTTTAATAATCTATTTATTCCAAATTATAAGATATTTTGGTTTTTCTAGATATATTATTTTTATTATGTATCTAGACAATACATCTAAGTGTATAAGTAAAAGTTATGTATTTAGAAAACTCAAAACGTCTTATAATTTCGAATGGAGTGAGTACATATGACTAATAATGAATTACTTATATTAAATTGTATGTTTTCTTTTTATTTATTTTCTAACATAATAGACATATATAATAGATACGTTGTAGTCTATATATATTTTTTCTCTTTATGGCCACCTTCATCAAGTGCACCGAGACCTTCCCTTCCTTCGCCACTGTCGGCAACGACCTTTACCTGGAGGAGATTGAGATGCAATCCAAAGATGGCCCTCCGTCCACTGCTTTGGTGGCTGGACCTGCTCCCCCAGAGCCCTCCTACTCCTATGGCACTCCTGCTGGCTGCGCACAGGGTGGATGTTGATGGTCACTAAACATCATTGATGACCATCAACATTCACTAAAGTTTGTTTTATTAAAAACGACAAGAAGTCGATTTGGCTAAAACGCACTTTCTGGGTTTTATGGAAACCTGGTTTTAATTGCATTGAAATTCGTTGCTCCATACAAACAAAGTTTTAGAGGCAGTTAGGCAAAAACGAGTTTACGGAGTTCTAGCTTTCAGAATAAACGAAGATCCAAACAACCCATTGGAGTTGCTCTTAAAACATTTAATTTGGAGATATAAATATGAGATGAGAATAATGTCTTGAATAAGTCTTCCATAATAACGTCCATTTTTTAGATATTATAACTATTTTAATATATGGACTAATCTATGACTGATTTTGATATATTGAAAAGCTTTTGTTTGAGACAAGCCATCATCTCCATGATCATGTTGCACCAGTGGTGGATCCAGGACAAAATCCTAGGGGGGGCTGAACAAGCTGTTGTGTTGGGCGCTGGGCGCTAGCTGCTACCGTGCTGTGCTGATGCTTGCTGGTGCAGGCGTTGTGCTGCGCTGCTGCTCCATGGGGCCCGCCGGTAGGGGTGGCCCCAGCCCCCAGTGGCAGATCCGCCACTGTGTTGTAGAAATCTACTTCTTTGTCTCTAATATGAGGCAAAGATATTTGCTAAGGCTAACCGCTTCTACGAGGAATTAAATCATAGGAAGTTGTATACCTCATCACGAATAGAGTGAGACCTCATTACGAATTCCTTTGGAGAAATGACAGTTGAGACTTAACAATTCATAAGAGGCTTTGATTTCAAGAAGAGTGTCTAATTAAATATATACCACTGGTGATGGTATAAACCTACAAGGCAGGAGGTAGAGACAGTCCTATGTGTTGTTCCACAGTTATTTAAAAAATGTAAAAGAATATATAAATAGTGAAGTAAAGTTTGACCATCATTCCCCTTTTGGTCTACTTCATATATAGCTTCAGAAGCCAAGTCATTTGATACGACAGCTAGCATTTCATTCAAAATCCACACAAATGAAACCTGCTAAGCTGACCTCCTTGCATTGGTGGTGCACTCTGTTCATCATCCTTCAAACAACTCTTGCAACATCTCTTCCAGGTTGTGGGTAGTGGATCATAGGGTGATAACATTGTTATCCACTGTGTATTTTGTATATCCTGAAATGATTTTCTCAGTTATAGCTTTTGCAGTCTTTTTCTCATCTCAGGATCTGGGACTTTCCATAGCTTTTGAGTGGTGTACATCTTTTGAAACTCAAACTCAAACTTGGGCAGCAGAGAGTAGTTTTTCCCAAAGCAAAGAGTTGTAGGACTGAACAAGCATGACAACACTGGTGCCCAAGATACCTGTAGATAGCTCTCTAAATAGTGCTCGACTTTCTCAACGAATGAAGCGACATGGACTTGTAGAAAAGAAAACCCAGCGGTGTTGTTATAGAGACTATGGCGTATGAAGTTGAAGTTGTTGAGCAAAAATAAGAATTTAAGGCTTTGATCTAGAAATGTTTTTGAGATGAGGGAAATTCTTTCTTGTAAACAACACGCCATCTCTATGATCATGCTATCCAAAGGTGGAATGTACCCAGTATTTATGTGAGGCAGCACATACTTACGAAGGATAGCTGCTTCAGATACAATTGGATCCACCGGAGAGTAATTTTCGAGCAAGAAGGTGATATGAGCCATTACTGACAAAGTGACCTTGTGAATGTCTGATGATCCTTGTGGAGTCTGAGCACCTGGCAAGTCGTCCACCATCGGCTCCATGATGCGACTCCTAATATCCTCCAATATGCTCCTTATGCTCTCACGGGCCTCGGCATTCTTTGCGTACAAGAGGTTACCACTCCTCCTCTTATCCTTTCAACTTCTGCAGGCGGCGTCGAAAGGAATAGCACATGGATCTCGGTTCAGGCATCGGACAACGCACAATGCACACGCAGCAGAATATGAATCTTCTGGTGTAGTGCTTGCACCGGCATGCCACCAGGATCTAGAGCAACTATGAAGTCAACAAAAGCAAGCATTTTCAACATGGTTTCTTGGATAAATCGTGCAAATAGGAGCAGTTCCAGAATGGAACCCTCAGCCTTGGGATCTTCTTCCTCCTCCTCATAAATACTAGGTAGTAGGCCCACAGAACCATGATCCGGGAAGAGCGACACCGCCACGGACCTGATGGTTGTTGGCCCACGGGATCACCGTCTGACGATAGTGAACTAGTCTCCAGACCACTAGTCTCCCAGACCAGATCATTAGTCTCCCAGACCACTAATCTCCCAGACCACTATACCGGTTATGTCTGTACCCACACACTATGGATCGAGCTAGAAGAAGAAGGGAGAACAGAGCAAGCACGCACAATACAAGACAACAATATTGGCCGAGGCCCTGTCTATGTGATGGCAAATCTGAGCTCTCTTTACTGAGTTGTCTTGGTGCCCTATTTATACAACTATATCTATCTAACTAAAGTACAGCGCACATGCTGTAACGGTAACTAGATAAGTATACAGGGTTGACTCTACGCCGCCATCTTGATGTGCCTCTGATGCTGCTGAGTACATGCACCTACAGCTGCCATCAGATTACAGCAGCGGGCAAAGTCGGCGCCGCCTTCCTCTGCTGTGTTTCACACAAGGTGGCAGTAGATTAGCTAACAATCTTCCCCTAATCTTACTGCTAACCCTTGCACCCCCTCCATGTCGATCATCTCCTTCAGCTCCGTGAGTCGAAGTCGTCCGAGCGGCTTGGTGAGGACGTCCGCGAGTTGTCGACCAGTTTTGACAAACTCGATGACGATCTGCCCTCCATCAACACAGTCCCTGAGGAAGTGGAACTTCACGTCGATGTGTTTACTCCGGTCGTGCAGAACCGGATTCTTCGCGAGGGCGATGGCGGGCTGGTTGTCCACCATCAGTGCTGGTGGGTGAGCTTCCACGCCGGTTAGCTCACCCAGCAGCCGGCGTAGCCACACAACTTGGCACGCCGCTGTGGCCGCCGCTACGTACTCTGCCTCGCATGTAGATAGCGCCACCACCTTCTGTTTCAGCGATAGCCATGAAATTGGGGCCGACCCGAGGAAGACGAGTACGCCAGAGGTGCTCCGTCGTCCGTCGATGTCCCCCGCCATGTCTGCATCGCTGAATACCGTGAGCTGCAGCCTACTTCCCCCGGTCTTTGGGAAGATGATTCCATGATTCACCGTCCCCTTGACGTAGCATAGTAGCCGCTTCACGCGCAGCCCCTGATCCTCTCGGGATCCTCCATGAAGCGGCCGACGAGCCCACGGGAAACGCAATGTCCGCCTTGTGTGGACTAGGTAGCGCAGAGACCGACGACGATGCTCCGGTGAGAGTGTTGCATCTACTTTCGCCGCTGTGTCTGTCCTTCGTCGCTTTAAGCCGCTCCTCCATCGGAGTCATGCATGGCTTGCACTCCACCATGCCGCTCCTCTCCAACAGTTTTGAGGCATATGCGCTTTGCCTGAGCGTGAGTTCCTCCTTCCCCTGTCTCACCTCGATGCCGAGGTAGTAGGAGAGAGCGCCGAGATTTCATTCAAAATGAGCTGCCATCTCTCGCTTGAAGCTGTTGATATCCTCCGCGCGCACCGGTGACGATTAAGTCATCCACATACACGCCCGACCACGAGTTCTTCCTTCCCCCCGTCGCGTGTAGAGCGCGTGTGTTTCGGTTGCGCACTCTCTGAACCCCAAGCTCGCCCAGCGTGGTGTCAAGCTTGGCGTTCCATGCTCAAAGGGCAACTCTTGCAATGATCGGAGCACCCTGTGCTCCTCTCCCTTGACAACGAACTCGGAGGTTGCTGACGAAGACCGTTTCGCCAGCTTCGCCGTTGAGGAAGGCCGATTTAACGTCCAAGTGATGGACGCGCGCCAGATCCTTTTGTTGCCGCCAAAGCAAGTAGCAAACGG